GTGTCCCCAACCCCGTCCCAGCGCGATGGGGAAGCAGAACAGCAAACTCCGCCCGGAGATGCTCCAGGACCTGCGGGAAAACACGGAGTTCTCCGACCTGGAGCTGCAGGGCTGGTACAAGGGGTTCCTGAAGGACTGTCCCTCGGGCATGCTGGACGTGGAGGAGTTCAAGAAGATCTACGCCAACTTCTTCCCCTACGGCGACGCCTCCAAGTTCGCCGAGCACGTTTTCCGCACCTTCGACACCAACGGCGACGGCACCATCGACTTCAGGGAGTTCATCATCGCCCTGAGCGTCACCTCCCGCGGCAAGCTCGAGCAGAAGCTCATGTGGGCCTTCAGCATGTACGACCTGGATGGCAACGGCTACATCAGCCGGGAGGAGATGCTGGAGATCGTGCAGGTACCGACCGGGCTGTGCCGTGCAGGTACCGGGCTGTCCCATCCCACCCGGTGTGTGCTCCATGGTGTTGCCTCCCAGGTGTGGTTGGGTTGGGGATTTCACCCCCTGGAACCCCCCAGAACGGGGTTTTGCTGAAGCAGGGATGAAGCTGTTGATGCCTGAAGCTGTGGGTGCAGGGGTTGTTTTATCCTGGAGCATCCCGAGTCCTTCCCTGCATGGGGATGTCCCTTTGTCACCGCATTCCGCAGCTCTCCCGTGCTTCCAGCATGGGTTGTTGTCCCCCAGCACGCCTTGGTGGTGTTGAAAAATGGGCAAGAGATGCTCTCCTTGCCCTAATCCCAACCTGGTGATTCTCAGGGGCATCCCAGTGGCCAAATCCTCCCTTGCAGGAGCAGCTCAAGTTCCCACAGCCCAACCCCATGGGAAGGGTGATAAACACCAGCCCCATTCCCAGGAAAACAAAGCCTAGTGGTCATTTTATGCTGGAGCATTCCCGAGTCATTCCCTGCATGGAGATGTCCCTTTGTCACCTCATCCCAGGGCTCTCCCATGCTTCCAGAGCGGGTTGTTGTCCCCCTTTGTGTCACCTCATCCCCCGTGATTGTGATTCCAGGGTGGGTTGCTGTCCCCCAGCACACCCGATGGTGTTGGCAAAATGGGCAGGAGATGCTTTCCTTGCCCAAATCCCAACCTGGTGATCCTCAGGGGCATCCCAGTGCCCAAATCCTCCCTGCAGGAGCAGCTCCTGGCAGCTGAAGCCCCGATCCCATGGGAAAGGTGACAAACACCAGCCCCATTGCCAGGAGAACAAAGCCCAGAGCTGTGTCCCTGTCCCAGGTGGGCAATGCCAGGAGCCCACCCTAACCCTGACCCTCTGTCATTCCCCCAGGCCATCTACAAAATGGTCTCCTCTGTCATGAACATGCCTGAAGACGAATCCACGCCGGAGAAAAGGACGGACAAAATCTTCCGACAGATGGACACTAATAACGACGGTAAATGAGAGGAGCTGCAGGGGATTAGGGAGAGGTCTCATGGCTAAATCCAGGGTATCAGGAGGAGCTGATTAAATGGCTCATGTCCGAGGGGCTCAGGGTGCTGGGTGCTCCCCCCCCCCGGGGTGGGGAGGGGTCCGTGGGCTGCTCTGGGTGGTCTCTGGTGGTCGCTGGGAGGTGCCTGAGCTGTGTCCCCTTCCCCACAGGGAAGCTGTCGCTGGAGGAGTTCATCAGAGGGGCCAAGAGTGACCCGTCCATCGTGCGCCTGCTGCAGTGTGACCCCAGCGGGGCCATGCAGTTCTGAGCCCCCCGGAGCCCCCCTGGCACCCCCCACCCTGCTGATGGTCACTGTCCCTCGCCCAGACCCTGCTGTCCCCGCTGTGCCCCCACAGCCCCTGTGGGATGGGAGATGGAGCCTGCATGGTATTGGGGTCAGGGGGGCTGTCCCCATCCCTTGGGGGGTCCTGAACTGGTTTTACTGGTGGGAGGTGAAGGCAGGGTGAGCCCTGAGTGAGGGCAGACCCCCTGAGTGAGGACAGACCCCCAGAACTGGGGCTGGGAGCAGGGACAGCCCAGCCTGGTGGGACAATGTGGGGACACAGCCCAGCCTGGTGGGACCATGTGGGGACACAGCCCAGGGGACAAAGCCCCGTGGTGGTTGGGGGGTCCCCAGCACCCAGCCCCACATGGAGACACCCCCATAGGCAGGGCTGGCTCAGCCCCTTCCCCACAGGGTGGGCTGCAGGGGATGGGTTTGTGCTTCTGGGCTTTAATTCCTGCAGAATAAAGTTTGTGTCAGTGCAGTCCGTGCTGGGAAAGGGGACACTGGGACCCTGGGGACAGTTCCTCCCTGCAGGGTGTGGATCCAGCCCGGTTCCATCCCTCGCTGCAGCCCCAGGATGGGCTCCTGTTCCAGGGGATGTGCCCACACAATCCTGGGAGGCAGCTGGGCCCTGTCCTGGGCTGTGCTGGTGCTGGAATGGGGCAGGAACGGCCCGGACACATCCACAGGGTCATTTACCCCTCAGAGCCGGGCAGTTTCTCCACTGTCCAGTCTCAGCAAGGTCAGGCACTGCCCAGGGCCGGGGCTTTCCACAGGAGCTTCCTGCAGAGAGACCTGGAAGCCAGAGAGAAGGATGAGAGTGGGAGCAGAGGGGTGGAAACCTTGGGCCCACAGATCACCCCTGGACTGCCCCAGCCCTGCAGGAGAGGGTTAGAGCTGAGNTGTTTGTGCCATCCTGGGGGGCTGGAGCTGAGCCCCCCACAGGCAGCAGGGTGGGGGACAGTGGTGGCCCCAGTGTGGGGGTGCCAGCCCCCCTCTGATAATCTCCATATCTATTTTAATCCCCCTGGGCTACACCTGCAATCCTTCAGTGCCACCCTGGCTGTGTGGGCACCCACCAGGACTCTCCTGTGGGCACTGAGGGGTGATGAGGGCGGTGAGGCTGATGCTGGACCCCAAATCCCCGAGCTCTGAGCATCACCGAGCCCCATCAGCTTGGGGACAACAGCCAGGGCCAGGCCGAGGCCACCACAAACACACAGAGGGGTGTGGGAGCTCTGAACCCCGTCCTGGGGCACAGGGACACCACAATGTCCCCTCTCGGGGCGTCCCCTTCATGGGGTGTCCCTTCCCGAGGTGCCCGCAACATTTTGGGGTGCAGAGAGTGGGAACCAGGCAGGATGAGCTGCCCCCCGTGCCAGGGACCCCATAAATCACTGAGGGGGTTTGGTGTCCCCGCTGTGCCCCCCTCGTGGGCATTATCCTGCCTGTCCCTCCTGCAATCCCTTCCAGCTCGGGGATTATTTGGGTTTAGGGTCGGGCTGCAGTCGGAAATGGGATGCTTTCAGATCAGCCTGCGTCACTTGTGCCTCTGCCACTCGTGCCCAGGGGGATTAAAATAGATATGGAGATTATCAGAGGGGGGCTGGCACCCCCACACTGGGGCCACCACTGTCCCCCACCCTGCTGCCTGCCTGTGGGGGGCTCAGCTCCAGCCCCCCAGGATGGCACAAACACCTCCCTTTTCCTCACCTTTCTGCCTATATCCCATCCCACCCCATCCCCAAATCTCCTTCTACAACAGGAGAGGTGAAATCACCACTGCAGCACCTCCCCTGCCCAATTCCTGTGTTCCCAGCCTGATCCCATTCCCAAAATGCTGCACTGGGCTGGATCCCAGTGCCCAAATCCCAAATCTGGAGCTCAGGGAGGGATCCCAGTGCCCAAACCCCAAACCTGGAGCTCAGGGCTGGATCCCAGCGCCCAAATCCCAATTCTGGAGCTCAGGGATGGATCTCAGTGCCCAAACCTGGAGCTCAGGGCTGGATCTCAGTGCCCAAACTCCAAACCTGGATCTCAGGGAGGGATCTCAGTGCCCAAACCCCAAACCTGGAGCTCAGGGAGGGATCTCAGTGCCCAAACTCCAAACCTGGAGCTCAGAGAGAGTTCCCAGTGCCCAAACCCCAAACCTGGAGCTCAGGGAGGGTTCCCAGGTTCACGAGTGGGAATTTTTCATTCCTGTGCTGTGTCCAGGTCCCTGTGCTCCTCAGGGCCTGGGCTGCTCCTCTTCTCCACCTCTGTTTGGTCCAGAGCTGCTCCAAAGCACCCTCAGGGGTTTGGGTGCTGTGCCAGGACTGCTCCCCATCTCCTGTTCTGGCTCTGAAGGTTTGAATGGTGTAATAACAAAATAATCACAGGGTGAAAATGTAGATTTTAGGATTTTTGGTCTGGGGGTTATGGGGACAAGATGGAGGAATCTGGGCATGTCCAGCCTTTCTCCTTCTTCTTGGTCTCCATTTTCTGCAGTGGTGTTGGCACTTTGGGATTGATTTAGAGTAGAGGTGCACTGTCTAACATAGGTGATAGGTGTTGGGAATTAAGTGTAAATATGTTATATAATATATATATATAAATAGCATAAATACATAAATATATACTTAATAAATATATATTTAGTAAATATATATTTATGTATTTCTTTATTTTAATAACGATATTTGCATTTATATATTATTTATTTTAATAAATATATATTTTATATATTTTACATATTATATATATAAATATATATTTAAATCTATAAATATATTTAATAATTATATATTTAGTAAATTTATATTTATATATTTTTATTTTAATAATGATGTTGTCATTTATATATTATTTATTTTAATAAATATATAAATATTTTATATAAATATGTATTTATAATATTTCTTAATATTTCTATATATAATATAGATTCATAATATGTAATATATATATTTATATATTTATTTGTTTTAATAATGATATTTCAATTTATATATTATTTATTTAATAAATATATAGATAGATATTTATATGTATTTTTACATATATATTTCTATATATTTTTACATATTATAAATATATAAATATATATTATTATATATATTATAAATAGTATTAAAAAGACAACACCGCCTCAGGGGCTTCAGAGTGCCTGTGGCTGCCCTGCTGAGCAGAACTCGGCTGGGCAGAAAGAAAATTTTATAGATAAGAATGAATAAAAAGAAAATTTTATAGATAAGAATTAATAAACAACCTCAAGACCGAAAAGTGAAGAGTCCAGGCTCTCCTCTCTCGAAGCAGAGACACCCTGCACATCTGGGGGCAGCAATTATAACCAAAACCCGAGGGCTGGGAGGGTCAGCCACACTTTTTGAATGCCCAGGAGATTTTGGGGTGAATTCACCCCGTGTTGGCTCCTTCCCCCAGCTCCCCATGGCGCAGCCGCCACCCCAGCACGTCCCTGCTCCCCCATGGGG